GGGGGGCCCCCCCCCGGCGCCCGTCCCTCCTTAACCCTTCTCACCCCCAGGCTCCCGCCGAGGGGCCTGGGATCAGCTAGCCGGGGTTAACGAGGTGGGGCATGTGCAGGGAGGGGGCAGAATGTAACCGGAGCTGTATTGTTCCTCCTGGGGGCAAAGCCGGGGCCCCTTAAACTCTGCCCTGCGGCTGGGGGGGTCACAAGGAGCCTAGGTGTGCAAATCCCCTTCCCCCGGCCCCATTGCTGTGGGTTGAGGCTGGCCAGCCCCCAGGGTGCTGCATGGAGACCGCCCCCCCCCCCCCATGGGTCTGGTCTTGTTAGAGGGTCTTTTAGTGCTGATATCGTGGTAGCAACTAGAGGCCCCAACTGAGACTGGGGCCTCCCCCGACCCAGATCCGGGGCCCCCACCGTGCCGGGCGCTGCACAGACCTCACAACCCAGATTGTGAGTTGTGCCGGGGGGGTTGCCCAGACCCTCTCGGCCGAGATCCGCGGCCCCTCCATGTCGCTGGGCATGGCCCTGGCCAACCCAGCTCGGGGACCCCGCCACGCCAGGCTTGGCCCCAGGCAGCACGGACCAGGCACTGGGCTGAGATGGCGCTTACCAGGAGCACCAGTGGGGTCGCCCAGGGCTGGCTCTGGCTCCACCACCCGGCGCTCCAGACCCAGCTAACCCTCCCCGCGCTGCCCTCTCTGTGTTTAGAATAACTCCTGGATCCGAGACCATGACGAGACGGGCTCCACGCACTCGGGCACACCGGGCCCCTCCAGCGGGGGCATCGCCTCGCAGAGCGGGGACAACTCCAGCGAGCCAGGTAAGGTGGGACACCCCCCCCGACCCCCATCCCCTGCACCAGCCCAGCCTGTGGGGCAAAGCCCGGACTGGGGCCGGGAGAGAGAAATCTCCTGGCTGGGAGAAAAGCCTCTTTACGGCCTGAGAAGGACTTGGCAGGTGCCACCCAGTCCTGCGATGCAACCGCCTCTGGGGTGGCGCAGGGCCGCTGTTTATTCAGCGATCCCTCTCCCGGCCCTGCAATGCAGCCACCTCTGGGGTGCAGCAGGCCGGCTGATTAACAGCCACAGTGGTGCAGAATAGTTTGAGACAGGAAGTGACGGAGGATCCCAACTCCCTGCGAAATGACAGGGGCTGGGGGCCGGCAGAACAGAATCTCTGTAGCTGGAGTTTGATTTGGGGGGGCGGAATTTGGCCCCAGCAAGCATCACTGATCAGCAGCCCCCCCGGCTCCCACACAGTCCCAGCCGCGCTGGGCCGAGCCCAAACCCCAGGAGGGCGTCTCCCCAGCAGCGGTGGGGGGCAGCGTAGCAGCCACTCAGCCTCAGTTTCCCAGCTGCTCTTCCCCGGCTCCAGCCAGCCCTGCAGCGAGGTCTCGACCCCGGCCCGTTCCGGGGCGCCCCAAGTCCAAAACACGTCAGGAAGCTCCCTCGTCCTCCAGGAGCTCCACTGGGCCAGAGCTGCCTGCCCCAGCTCCATCTTCCTTCCCTCCCGCCGGCCACGGCCATGGGCTTTTCCTTTGAAACCTTCCCTGCCAGTGTCTCTGTTTGGGCCGATTGGCCCTTTGGTAGCCTGTTAACCCCTTCCTGCCTTGCGTGGCCCGTTCAACCCTGCAATGCAACTGCCTCTGGGGTGGAGCAGGGCGGCTCTTTATTCCCGTGGGTAGGAACCTCCGGTATGGTGTTTCCAAGAGCCGGCCATCACGGCCAGGCAACGCGCCGGCTCTGGGCGCGCACGGTGATTACCCCGCGAACGAACCCGGGGAGCGGAGCAGAGCGGGCAGAGGAAGGGGCCGTGGCTGCCTTTGGCTCCAGGGTCACCAAGGTCACCTTCCTCCCTGCGCAGCGCAGCCCCATGGGGAGACTGTGGGGTGGCATAGAGCTGAACTCGGAGAGGGAGGGCAACGAGGGGGGAGGGGGATAGAGAGGCAGTGGGGGGAATGGAGAAAAAGTGGGGGGGGGTTGGAGAGGCAGTGTGGGCCTGGAGGGGCAGTGGTGGGAGCTGGAGAGGCAGGGGGGATGGAGGGACAGTGGGGGGAGCTGGAGCACCCACACACACCCCGCTCAGCCTCACAACATACACACGTGTGCACTGTGCATCCACACACACCCCATGAAACCTCACAACATACACACGCGTGCACTGTGCACCCACATGCACCCCTCTCAGCCTCACAACATACACACGTGTGCGCTGTGCTCCCACACGCACCCTGCGCAGCCTCTCAACATAAACACGCGTGCACTGTGCACCCACACGCACCCCGTGCAACCTCACAACATACACACGCGTGCACTGCACCTCCATGCAACATGCATGCCCCATACAGCCACACAACACACCCAGGCATCCGCTGTGCATCTACATAATGCACACCCACCCACCCTGCAGCACAAAATGGGCCTCGTGCAGCCACACAACATGTGTGTATGTGTGCTGTACATGCACACACGCATCATGCAACCTCACAACAGCCACACGTGTTCCATACGCAAATCTACACGCTCTGTGGATCCGTACAACACGTACAAGTGGGCTGTGAATCATTCATAGAGCTGCACAATGTGTGCGGGGGGGAGGGGGCTACGCTACGCTGCAGGGAGCGGGGGGGGGCGGCAGGGAGCACTCCCCCCCTGGCAGGTAGGTCTGGCCCCATTGCCCCAGGGCGGCTCTAGGGGGCGCTGTGGGGCAGGGGGCTCAGCATGGGGTGCTGTGGGGCAGGGAGTGGGGCGGGGGGTTCAGCAGGGGGCACTCTCCCCTGGCAGGCAGGGCTGGCCCCAGGGCGACTCTAGGGAGCGCTGTGGGGCAGGGAGCAGGGAGGGGGCAGCAGGGGGCGCTCTCCCTGTGCAGACAGGGCTGGCCCCATTGCCCCAGCGCGGCGCTAGGGGGCGCTGCGCTGCAGTGAGGTGCCGACTCTGCTTGTCCTGAGGTGTCTGGTGCCGGGCCCTGAATTGACCCAGCAGCGCCAAGGGGATCGCCGTCACTTCCTGTCCCAAACTGGGGTTTAGAGCTGGTGCATCCCACGGGCCGCCGTGCTCCCAAGGCCCCTCCCCCTCTTCTCCTAGCTCCCCTCCTCCACCCCTGCACCCCATTCCCCTTCCCCACCCCCTCCCTGCTCCCAACCCCCTGCTCCTCCCTTCTCCTCACCCCCATCCCAGCTCATCCGCACGCCCCTCCCCACCCACTTCCCTGCTCCTAACCCCCTGCCCCAACCCTGCACCCCCCTTCCTCCCCCTGAATCTCTTATGACCCACTTAACCCCTCTCCCCCCTCCCAGAATCCCCCCCCGCCCTTTTGTTCCTGCTGTTCCCTTTGTTCTCTGGGATTTCCTGACTGCCTGTGGAGGGGGGGGCAGGGAGGGGGGGCCGAGGGAGAACCCACCCCCAGCAGCACCTTCTCTGATGCATAATTTACCGGCGCTTCAGGCAAGACTTTTAAGCTGCCTTTTAGCCGGAGGATATGAAAGATCAGCAGCTGGGGGGGGGGGGAGGATTTATGTTTCTCGTGGGGGGGGGAGCGGGTTGCAAACGGCGCTAGCAGGCGCCCCCCAATGGACCCGCATGCCCTCTAGAGGACGGAGGCTCAGGGCCGAGGCCTGGAGGAGGCTGTGGCACGGCTGGGGGGGAGCAGCGTGTCGGGGCTGGGGGGAGAAGAGAGCAGGAAATGAAAGCAGCCCTCAGAACCTGGGGGGTTGAACCCACATCCTGCTGTGCCTTGCACCCTGAGCCAAAGGAGAACCCCCAGCAATTGGGAGCAGGGCAGGGGGACTAGGACACACAGGAGTGCAATTCTGGTTCCTTCCAGGAGGTGGCAGTGGTACACACACACACACACACACACACACACACAGAGCAACCCAGGTAAAACACCCGCCCGCCCGCGCACGCCAGCCCCTTGCACTATTAAGAGCAACTCAGACCCGTCCAGCAACCAGACCCGGGTTCCGTTTCATTTTACCTTCAGCCCTGGGGAGGTTTGTTTCTCAAAGGGAACCAGCCCTTAATGTCCCGGGTTCGAATCCTGCCCCAGGCGGGAGTTGACCGAAAGATGCTCGCGTCATACCTTTCTGTCTGTCCATCCGTTCCCCGGCCTCACCCCACCCCACCCCTGTAGCTTCGAAGGCCCCATCCTCACGGTGTGCTGGTGCTTAGGTGCCCCACACCTCTGAGGATCTGGGCCTAGGAGTTAAACACATCTGAGCTCTCCCCAACCACCGCCTTGGCGTCACTCAAGTCCCCATCCCAAGGCTGGGGCTGAGAGAAAAACCAGAGTCTGTCTGATCCCAAATGGCCTCGTTCTGGGCCCAGCACCGCAAGGAACCAAGGCTGGTGGGGCTTGGCCCAGGCGGCAGTGGGGCAGGGATCCAGCAGCAGCCACTGGCGAGGGCGGGGGGCAGCGGATTGGAGTAGGGGAGTCTAGGAGCCAGGACTCCTGGGTTCTGGCTCTGGGAGGGGAGTGGGGTCTAGTGGTTAAAGCAAAGGGGCAGGACGGCTGGGAGCCAGGACTCCTGGGTTCTATCCTAGGCTCTGGGAGGAGAGCAGGGCCTGGTGCAAGAGGAGACAGGCAGTAGGATTTTGCGCACCGGGGAAGACGCTTGCCCAAGGTGCAGGAGTCGGGTGGAGAACACCCAAGCGAAGGCACTTCTCATTCTCGCCCCGAGGGGGCCACATGCCCCTGCTGTGGCTCTTTGTCACCCCCTAGTGGCTCAACCACATTTATGCATCAGCGCCAGGGACAAGGCCGAGAGCTCTTCTTTAGCTCGAGCAGCAAGGGGCAGGTGTCTCGGTAGAACCGGTCGCTGGTTCAAGTCCCGCTCCTGGACACTCAGGCTGCCTTTCTCCCAGGGGACTGCCTGGATAACAGCGTGGCCTCCCCCAGCACCGGGGACGACGACGACCTGGACCGGGACAAAAAACGCAACAAGAAGCGGGGGATCTTCCCCAAAGTAGCCACCAACATCATGCGGGCCTGGCTGTTCCAGCACCTGTCGGTGAGTGACGAGAGGGGGCAGGGCAAGGCCAGGTGCCGGAGACGGAAGGAGGGAAAGTGAGTGAGACAAAAGCTGTGGGGTTGGAGTGGAGTGTAATGGTTAGAGCCTGGGAGCCAGGACACCTGGGTTCTCTCCCCAGCTCTGGGAGAGGAGTGGGGTCTAGTGGTTAGAGCAGGAGGGCTGGGAGCCAGGACTCCTGGGTTCTCTCCCGGCTCTGGGAGGGGAGTGAGGTCTGGTGGTTAGAGCAGGGGGGGCTGGGAGTCAGGACTCCTGGGTTCTCTCCTCAGCTCTAGGATCCTTCCTGCCCTTAGCCTCCCCCTTCCTCAGCTTCCAGCCAGATGGCCTGGTACAGAAACCTCGTCCTCCCATCCCGCAGGGCAGCAAAGGTCCTGCCGATCAAAGGCCAGGCAGCCTCGTGCTTTCCCTGCCAGGCCCCAATGATGGATGAGGCGGCATCGTTCTGTGGGTCACCCCGAGACCTCTGCCGAGCTCCCC